GTATATTTTAGACCTAGCAGTTGTATTCATACTTTAATAGATGCTCGTGACTTGTGACACCCCGGTTTGGGCTGTGTCGGGTTGTACTTTCGCTAATTATTATCATTAAATCATATTTAAACTGCTTATGAACTGTTCAACTGTTTTAAAAGGATGAATTGGGTTTAGTTGGCTGGCCTTGTCCCCACGAGAGGCGCCATCACGACCGGGTCTGGGTTTGGGTCGTGACGTCATCACATCAGCTACCGCTCCGTTTTCCCCATTTCTACTTCTTTATGCTTTGTTATCCGTGTTTTATGTGATCGAGCTGTTTAGTTTGCGTTCGAAGTGGATTTGGTAAGAAATGAGACACTTAGTCTCTTTTAAGAAGGTTCAAGTTGGTATCAGAGCCTAGGTTACTTTGGTCTCGCAAGTCTTGAGCCGGTATGGAGACGTCTGTATTTATCCTCGAGAGGCTGCAGAACCTTTAGGAAAACTTCATATTCTTGAAATTCTTGTCATGTGACTTTGTTGAACCGAGAACTAAACTTCTATTATTCTATTCTCTCACAGATGGTGAGGACACGAGCTACCGGACGAGGTGGACGGCCACCAGTGCCACCCACTGAGGCCACCAGAGGCCGTGGATGCGCTCATGGTCGTGGCAGAGGCAGAGTAGCGAGGGAAGCATCTGTTGATCCACCAGCTGCCCCAGCTCCGGATCAGACTCCAGCAGCACCAGTTCAGGCACCAGTTGTGCCCATCGTGATTCCAGGTCTACAGGAGACCTTGACACAGATCCTGACAGTTTGCACTGGCCTAGCTCAGGCAGTTTCAGCCACCACAGCAGCAGCTACTTCGTAGGCCGGGGGAGGCAACCAGACCCCCACTGCTCGCACACCTGAGTAGGTAGTGCAGGGACTACAGACGCCAGAGGCACCTCCAGCTCAGCCGGTTGCACCAGTGCAGGAGTTCAGGGTTCCAGTTATGCCGGAGGATGAGCAGCGTCATCTTGAGAGGTTTGGTAGACTCCAGCCTCCGACATTCAGTGGTGTTGAGGGCGAGGATGCCCAGGGTTTTCTTGACAGGTGTCAGTGGATGCTTCGTACAGCAGGGATTCTTGAGTCTAGTGGTGTGGCATTTACCACCTTTCAGTTTACTGGGGCTGCCTTCACTTGGTGGGAGGCGTATGAGAGGCGTAGGCCGGTTGGTGCAGCGCCCCTTTCTTGGCAGCAGTTCTCCACTCTCTTCTTGGAGAAGTATGTACCGCAGTCCCGCAGAGAGGAGTTGCGTAGGCAGTTTGAGTGGTTGACGTAAGGAGAGATGACCGTGACCCAGTACGAGATGAGGTTTTCAGAGCTGGCTCTGATACCAACTTGAACCTTCTTAAAAGAGACTAAGTGTCTCATTTCTTACTAAATCCACTCCGAACGCAAACTAAACAGCTCGATCACATAAAACACGGATAACAAAGCATAAAGAAGCAGAAATGGGGAAAACGGAGCGGTAACTCATGAGACGACTGGTCGGGTCGTCACAAAAACTAAATATACAAAGCTGAAAGATAGCGAAGGAGAGACAAGGTCTGTGAACGCTAGACAGCTACCTTGAAATCTCCAAACGATCAAACTGCGCAGAGAATAAACACATACCGTGTGCAGAAACACCTGGATCTGCACACGAAGTGCAGGGTGTAGCGTGGGTACAACCAACTCAGTAAGTAACAAGACTAAATAATAGACTGAAAGTAGTGATGAGCTTCACGGGTATAGTTCAATTACATAAATTACAACATGGGAAGATAAGCATGCTTTCAAGTTCGACGATTTAGGCCAAAACAATTAATTCACGTCAAGTTGAATTGAAACAGGATATAATATCTTTCAGAAATTTCATGACAGTGATATATGCCAGCTGAAGTACAACAATAATGAAATCAAGTGCAAAATCTTAGAGCAATTGTCACTCAGTCCTCCCATACACTCCAACCTCACAGTCACTCATTCCTCACAGTCTCTCATTCCTCTCAATCGCTCAGCACTCGGCACTCGCACTCAGTAGGTACCTGCACTCACTGGGGGTGTGTACAGACTCCGGAGGGGCTCCTTCAGCCCAAGCGCTATAATTGGCCAGTCATGGCGTAAATAAATAAAACATGTTGCGGCGTGCAACCCGGTCCCATAAATATCCTCACAATCAGGCTCTCGACCTCACTCGGTCATCAACCTTTCCAGTCTCTCGGACTCTCCATAATCATGATAATCAGCCCAAACAGTAATGATATAATGTATCAATAAATGACAATGGAGACTAGGATGTAATATGCAAGTAAATATGTGACTGAGTACAAAACAACAATTTAATAAATAATTCAACAGGTAGCAGTCTCTGTGGGTCCCTACTGTACCAGCACATATCCTAAACATGATTTCTAACATGATTTGTAGTTCAATTCTAAAACATATGAAGAATAAACGGATAACAACAAATTATTCAACTACACAATTCCTTGGAAGTGACCAAGTCACAATTCCTACTGTGCACGCCCACACGCCTGTCACCTTACATGTGCGTCACCTCAAAACCAAACACACGACACATAATACTGGGTTTCATACCCTCAGAACCAAATTTAAAGCTGTTACTTACCCCCCCTAAACCGTGCAAATCCCTACTCCAACACGCTCTTGCCTCGTGAATCGACCTCCAAATGCCTCGAATCTAGCCACAAACAGTTCGATACAATCAACACGGGCTAAAGGAATTAATTCCATACGAAAATACTAAGTTCTTAATCAAAAGTCAAAAGTCGACTCAAAAGCCGTCCCTCGGGCTCACATCTCGAAATCCGATAAAAGTCACAAAACCCGAAAGCCCATTCAACCACGAGTCCAACCATACTAAATTTACCAAAATTCGACACCAAATCGTCACCCAAATCCCCAAATTCAACTCTCCAAATCCCTAGCCTCAGACTCCCAAATTTCACCTTAAATACACACAAACTATAGGTAGGAAATTTAATGGGGAAACAAGATTATCAATAAAAATGAGCACAAGTGACTTACCTCAAGAAACCCCTTGAAAATCCTCTCAAAAATCGCCCAATCCCGAGCATGAAATGTTTAAAATGAAGAAAAATCACGAACCATTGAATTTAAGGTTCTGTCCAAGGGTCTCGCACGTGCGGTCCCGCTTCTGCGGATCTTCCTTCACTTCTGCGAACCAGGACCCCCAGCCCAACTTCGCTTCTACGGTCTCTCATGCACAGATGCGCATCTGTACCAGCGGATTTACTTCCGCACCTGCGCCTTCGGGCTTCCTCTCCTAGACGTGCACCTGCGACGCCTCTCCGCATCTGCGACCTCGCAGGTACGATTCGCACCGTGGGGGGGGGGGGGGGGGGGGGGGGGTTAAGAAACTTAAAAAATAGGAAATTCAAAATAAAAAACGGAAAAAAATAAACAAAATAAATTGTGCGGGGTGGGGGAAGTGGGGTGGGGTGGGGTGGTGCAGAAAAACGGACAAAAAAAAGAAATTTAAAAATAAAAAAAAGTAAAAAAATAAGTGTGTAGGGTGGGGGCAGTGGAAGTGGGGTTTGGCGGGGTGGGTGGTGCAGGAAAACGAAAAAACAAAAATTTAAAAAAATGTAAAAAAAAAACAACTTTTTTTTGCAGGGGGTAGTAGGGTGGGTGGTGACGGAAAGAAAAACTGAAATTTGAAAAAAAAATCTTTTTGGAGAGAGGGGTGAGGTGGTTGGCGTGGGATGGGTGGATGTTGGGGTGTGTGGTGGGTTGGTGAGGGTGGGGAATACGGTGGTTGAGAAGGAGTTTTGAAAAATGTTTTTCTTTCTCTTGATAAGGAAAACATTTTCCTCCAATTGGAGGAAACTGAGTTCATAAGAAAAATATTTCCAACATTTAAGCCAACCAAACATAAAAAAATCGGTAAATATTTTACTTGGTACCAAACACGGCCTTAATGTTGAAGGAAACAGTCGCAATAGAACCTGAAAAAATCATGTGCAACCGCACATTTGGGACCCCATTCAAGAATATGACCGTGCAAGATCCCGTGAACCAATGAACAGTGGTAATAACATTCTTCTCATAATACTCCATAAATAGTGATGACGCTTTGACAAAGACATATTTTGGAAAAGAACATTGCGCACAGTTTCTCCACAGTAACGAATAAGTTGAATGCTCTCTCTCATGATCAGCCTTCAAAGTAAAAATTAACTTCTATAAACAAAAAAATCTAATGTATAATTTTTTTACACTATTTGATCGCACCTAAAAACAATTACTAGTAATCACTTGTGATTCTGAAATTAGTAGCATAAACATTAAAATAGTTAACGTATTACAATATAAAATTATACCGATAGTATAAGCAGTGGTGGAGCCACTCCACCACTCTTTTCCAAGAGAAGACAATTGACATCGCCATAAAGTTACACTATATAAATAGGTTAAGAATAAATTTATATATACATCTTATCCTCTTCACACCCATTTATGAGAAATTACTGGATTTGTTGTTGATTGAGTATAGGTTAAATTCAAGAAAGAAAGAAATAGCGAAAGGCTACTAGTACAGTATTAAAGAGAGGGGGGAACTGTAACATGGAAAACAAAGTAAGAACTGATTCATCATAGCGTAGTTGTACTAAGTACACAATCAAAGGTCCCCAGAATCCAAGAAGCCCATGAAATGTTCCTTTCGACTATGCAAAAAGAGATAAAAATATGAATGCAGAAATAAAGTCATATTCTCTCTCTCTCTCTCTCTGTTTTATGATAGGAGTGTTGCCTGTCTGACTGATAGAATAGGTCGTGCATGCATGGGTCAATCAGTATCTTCCAAATATTTGGAGCCATTGCTTTCCATTTACTATAACTAGTCATTTCAAGCAACCCTACTCTTTCTGTATACAAACTCCACCTATATAAAGTGGACTATTGACTAGTGAGTGTAGCTATAGCATTTTTGGTATAATATAGATATACATATTGGAGATGGAGACAAAAAGTGACAATTTTACAGATGGAGAGCACCTGGAAGCAAAGGAATACTGTAGTTCCAGATCAGGAGATGCTGTAGAAGAAGATAATAATGAAGAAGAAACAGAAGTCATCAAGAGGCAAATATCTTCCCACTCTTTGTATGATCTTTTGGTTGACACTCACTTTGACTGTTTGAAGGTATTTATATTATTATATAATCCTATATATATGAGTATGCATGAATTGTTCTACTACTCTATTACTTAATTTTTCCGAAGATGTAGTAAGAGATGCTTGTGTTGCTTTCATCTTCAAAACCTAGTTACTAAGAATCGCATAAGGTTAACAGAAAATCATGTAGAGTATATTTTGGTTAGCAGGTTTGTTCGGGTATCAGTGAGATTGACAAAATTGAAAGAGCTGAAACAAAGGCAAAATATAAGAAGCGTAGTTCACACACAATGGATCAATCAAAATTGAACAATAACTTTGCTGTTGATGAGAAGCTCAGCTCACTCACAATTCATCAACCAGAACTGGACACTTTTATGGTAACAAGTTTCTGCATTTTTTCCAAATTTGATAATCATTGTATGTATGTATATAGAAGCATATAAAGCTGCAACAGTCGCCATCCCTTTCGTTTTCTTTGAGTTAATTCTATATTGTCTCTTCTTAGTCTATTATAGTTTACCCTATCACAACTACTATACATATTTGATGTAGCAGGTTCTATGAATTCAATGTTTTCAATTGAAATAATGTACACAGAGAGGCACAAATGGATTTAAAACTAATAGATATCATAAGATCACGCTTATTCTAAAATCACTAACTAATTCAGATTCTGAATTCAACTCTAATCCTAACCCACACATACTTAATGCACATATTGTACTAGTAATATATATACCTACGTTTAAGTGCACACACTAGGTTTATGGGTAAGAGCTATAATTTATGGTAATAAGCTAAGAACAAATTGTTTTTTGGTGTACAGGAAGCATATTGTGTGGCTCTAAGCAAGCTAAAAGAAGCAATAGAGGAACCTCACATAGAGTCCATAAAGTTCATCAACCATATGTATTCTCAACTCAGCGACCTCATGGAAGTTCCTTCTGTTTCCACTTTATCTCCAACGGCATCTTTTGGTAAGATTAAATCCAGTTTTAACAAAGCACTTCATTATTCTGCATAAGATACACACTCACACAATGTAATTATATATGCACTAATCTATTTACTATCGAGTTTAAGTGTGGAATATTTTACACCATTAGGTCATCCAAGGGATATCGACAAGTAAGACTCCTTAAAATGTGAGATTTGCAATTTTTAAAATAAGACAGGTTATATATTACAATAGAAAAAGTTGACTTGATAGTGTAAAAAATTTATACACTACGTGCGGTGTATACAATTAACTTAGGGGTTGTTTGGTATGAGGTATAAGTAGATATAGTGTTGATATAAAAATTTAATACCACCTTAATACTTGGTTTGGTTTGCAAACCTGTTATAAGTTATTCCGGGATTAAAATTAGTGCCGGGATAACTTATACCTTCTTCTTAGAAATTATGCAATTGTCATTTTTAATACAACATACCAAACAATGGATAAAAAATAATACCAGGATAACTAATCTCATCATAAGTAATCCCAGCATAACTTATTCCAGCATAATTCCGTATTCAAACCAAACGACCCCTTAAACTCTTTATTATTTCAATGTTCACTGGTCGAGGGCAAAAACATCAGGCCATTTGAAGCTTAAGAAAGTAAAACTGAAGAGCTGGATTCATTTAGGTAAAAGAAGAAATGGAGTGTTCAAGTCCAGATACTTTTTTAGTTACCATTGCAATATGCCAATTTTATCATGCTGAAACTGATTTTGATACTTTAGTACCAAAGTAATACCTGGTAAAGCAGGCACTTTAATTTGTCTTCATCATAAATATGGTTAAGAAAGTGCTTTCCCTTACAATTTGATATTTTGTTCTTTATTCTTTTTGTAGAAGGGATGAAGACCCATGGGAACACATGAAATGGCACGAGGAAGCTGATAGATCCAAGAATTTATATATTAAGCTCACAATTTAGCATCTTCTAATTACTAAGTTATGATATCTATCCTGTGCGATGCATGGTAGAATTTTCTTTGCTATAGACTGCCGCAAATCGTCGTAGTAAACTTTCTTTTTTGATGTAATATGAAGTTAATAATGATGATTGCCAACTGGTCGAGTTCATAATTAAGGGGTTGTGATTTCTCATATAAGTACAACAAAAAACCCAGTATTTTCTTTATCACACAGGGTGATAATTCATAACATCTGTAAAATGCAACAAACGATAATTCCTTACCACACAGGGAGAACTTTAGATGTTTGAGTAAAGAAACGTGAGCTGTTAAATATCGGGTTGATTTAATAACGGATTAAGGTTCAAATTGCACTAAATTTTGCCTACTTTAATGGATCAAAAGCTCAAAATTGACACTCATAGCGTGAAATGGTTGTGTCGGTTCAAGTTTGGACATATTAATTAATTGAGTCGTCAATAAAATGCTTCATAATAAATTAAACTATCCAAATTTTACTTTAATTAAATTTACTATTAAGTATAACTATTATTCTTCACCAATAAAAGAGGGAAGGTTGCAGTTTTAGGGTTAATAATCTATTTCTTGCACAAAACCTTTTCCTGTCCAGTCTTGTCAGATTGTAACCTTTCCTAATTGCCTTCCTTTGACGTATTGCTTCTTGTTGCTTTCTTACCAAAATCAGTTGGACTGTGAAACTAATACATAAGTGACAACTGTGCACACACGACACAACGACAAAACCAAATAATTATAAACAAAAGATGCCAATCCTTTCATTATGATTTTATGGAGTATATCAGAAGGACAAATTCAAAGTCAAATATAGTGAATTTTTCAGCTCTGGAGTTAATAGGAAGAATTTGAGAATTACCTAGGTCAAAATCTAAATGCGGTTAAATTCACCACAACGTAAAGAGGGACGAAATTACCATCTTAGAAAGATAAAAAAAATATATATATGCAGTAATATATAATACAACCTAGTTCTTGAGATTTACTGCGGGCAGACTCTTGAACCCTCCCCATAGGCTTCCTGTTTTCTCGTTTCTCTTGGAGAGAGAGAGAGATTGAGATTACCCTCTGAATTAATCCTCAATTGATGAAAAATTGTGCTTTCTCATGAAATCTTTCAGCTGGGCGCATAGCTCATTACCTTATCGGCGAAAACTTACTCGTACCAGTGTTTATATCAAATTAGTAAATGCAAAATATGTATATTGCATACACACATTTATCAAAGTAAGTATCAAAGTTAGTTGATATGCTTGTCACTTTAACTTTTAAATACTAAGGTTAAATTTTAACTTTTAAATACTAAGGTTAAATTTTAACTTTTAAATACTAAGGTTAATGCTTGTCACTTTAACTTTTAACTCCTCCTCGTACGCTTTTGCTATGCCTTGTTCGCTTTTGCGGGGTTCGCATTTGCTAACCCTATGTCGCAAATGCGACATCTACAACCTGCATATAGCTAAGTAATTTCGAGACTTAGCTTCATTTTGATATATTTTGAACCCTAGCCTCGATGGGAGGCGATTTTGTGAAAGGATTTTCATACCAAACTATCAGGTATGTAATTTTAATCAACTTTCAATGCTATTTCGTGATTATACATTAGATTTAATATCAAATTCATGAGATCTAAGGAAAATTTGGAGATTTTGTCAAAGTTTTGAAAATAAAATTTGAGATTTGAGAGTCGAATTGAACTCGATTTTAGAACAAA